AAAATCCGTGCAAAAGTTTTTACCCAACCGCCATCCAACCCACACAACTGCAATGGGGGCGTGACTTTCGGGGGAGGCGGAGGAGGAGGAGGAGGAGGAGGGGGTTGGGCCAACAAGACATATCTAATAACATTAAGTAGTTTGCGCGTCGTTTGAATTATGGCCACGTTCGCCGACGGCAGCCTGTGCGATGAGTGCTAAGCAGCTACTGCGAATATGGCCAACCATTTGGGCCTAGTTTTTGCAAGCGTTTAATTCGTATGCGTTCGTTGGCCACTTTGCACTACTTTCGCTTCCTTGGCCGGGCTGAAACTGAATTTTGAAAAATTGTTACCAGGCACGGAAGGTAACCGGACTAATGTGGGCGAAAGCGGGCCAAACGCTCCCTGAAGGTCAACTGGGAGAGCGAAAGGTCCTTGGCTTGGTTTTAAAACCAATTTGAAACATGAACTATGGTGTAAAATGAGGCTAGGCACCTTTAAAATGTCAAAAACTAATAATTCTGGTCATAATATGAATGCTAATCTTATATTTGCATGAAGTGGAAGTGAAGTTTTAGATTTTTTATTGAGGAAATAATTTAAATATAAATGTAGTTCTATATGTAAGGTAATATTTAACTTGTAAAAAAAAGTTTTTATTCTACAAAAGATTATTTAAGGCTTTTACCAACATAAAACAAACAACTAAACATTTATTTATTTATTTATTTACTACAAGTAAATAACACTTTCAATTACCCGATTTTTAAAAACGATAGTAAAGCTGCGATAACAATTTTTTCAATTTTCGTCCAAGCATCAAAATTTGGTGTGTATTTTAAAAGTTTCAGTTTGACTTATTTTAAAGATCTTATCTTATTTGAAAGTTATGAAAAGTTTAACGAAACTAAATTGTTTCAAGCATATGTAAGCAAATACTGTAACGTGCTCCTTGACCGCAACTTTTTGATTGCATTTTATCCACATTTGAGTGCGAGCAAATGACTTAATATAATGTGATATATTTTGAAAATTATATCATATCCTTTATGGCTGCGTCGCTTGCCAAAAACAAACAACGAAAGGTCAAAGGTAGGACCGCCCCGGGCAGCCCTCAACACTCCAGTGAGAACACGAGAAACGAGAAACGTGTGCCGCAAACAACCAACAACACCTGAACAAAGTTGTCTCGACTGGCAGACAACGACAACGACAACGACGACGACGACGACGATGACGACGCCAATGCCAAAAGCGAAAAGTGAAAAGCGTAAAAAGGGGAACTTTTCGCAGAGACAACTTTTCATTTGCATTTTTTCATATTTTTCAAGATGCGCGACGGCGAGATACTTTCGTTGCCCACTGTGCATGTGTGCATGCGTGTGCCTGGCCTAATTAAAACGATTGTGGCGTTAATGTAATTGCTCGGAAATGAGTAACGCTCCTGTGGCAACAAATTAGCAGCACATTACATGTAAACAACTGCACCAAGTGCCTACAGCTCAACTGGAAAGTGCTCATAATTTATCGACATTAGACGACTAACACGGCATTCTCAACGGAACTTTAACTGCAAAATTGATATTTCTGCCCCGATAAGCCGCTCGATTACATGAATTACATCAACGGTCGATTAAGTATGCATATGCATATAGATATAAGCGTATATATAATCACTTTTCACGTTTGGTTTGCGGCGGCTGTCATTATCATTTTTCATGCTGCCTCGTTGGATTGTGTTTGGTTACTTATTGTTAGCAGCTGTATATACATTCTTCCCTTTTTCGTGTCTCGTTTGTTTGCCTGACTTCTTTCGCAGGTCTCAGGTTTCCCTTTATTATTACTTATCCGCAATTCAATTTATCATTATTTATGCGTTATGAATTGTTTTGATTATGTAAGGCCGTTCAGATTTATCTTTTGTGGCGTACGGTTTAGCCCTTGAATTTATAATGCGACAGTCCTTAAGTGAAGTAAAAGGTAATATTTTCCATCGAAACATTTTGTTGATTGAATTAGTAGTTAAAATTATTTTTTAATACCAAATCGATGCCATTTTCAAAGTCCGCATACTAAATATTTACAAATGTATGAAGTAAACATAATTGCCCCTCTTTAAATATCATTTAGATAATTAAATTAATAAACAATTCATTAAACATTCAAAGAAATAAGTTTTAAATCATTTACTAAATTTATCGCAAACATTGATCACGTTAAATATTTTGTTGATTTAGTTATTAATACAATTGGTTATTGATACAATTAATTAATTGATAAATGCTTATTAATTTAGTTTCAAGCAAATCGGTATTATTTTATGTAGATTATTATAAGTTTTTTTTGTTATTCACGAAATAAATCATCCTAGCTATTTTCTTTTTGCTGTAGTTTTCCTTTAGAAGAAATTGCTTTATTAAATTTTTTACAGTTGGCATTCATTTATTATTAAATTTGATTTTATAAGTGGGTCACGATATTTATACGATTCATATTAATATTCAATTTGTCGGCCCTTGAATTTTGCTTTATAATGCACACATGTCAATCAGAGTAATTGAAGGTGTAACTTAAAAGGTTCTGCTTTCAGTCGCTTTCCTTTCTATTATTGATTGATTCGGATATATATTGAGTGTTGTTGTTTGCGTTAGTTTTGCATATTTGCAGTTGTCACTCAAGCGACGCCGCCGTGTTTGGTGGATCCCAGCTCCTGATTTCCGATTTCCACCTTACCTGCAGGACACGACTCGTAGGACGAGCTGTTGGGTTGGCCACCCAGCGACGTCGGAGTGACAATTACAGGACTGCCGATCGGATTGTTGTGGTCACCTTGATACGGTTGTGATTGTAATTCCATATTACATTTGCACTGCAATTTTTGCATTATTTATTCTGCACGAAACTCCCTTCGCCGCAGCCAGTTGGGAACCGAATTAATTATTAACCGCATACTTTGCACACTAACATCTCAGGTGGGCGTTAGTCCTAACTTTTCCTTAGCTTTCCCTTTTTTCCTTTGCGTATCGCGTGTATATATATAAATATATATATATTTTTTTTATTTTTTTAGTGCTCCCGACGACGAGTAGAAAAATGGTAGAAATTCATATTTTATAGGCGCGGACGCGTGGCGAACTGCAGCTCCCGAGCTCGGTGCCGTTGTGTGCTGGGTGTGCTGTCGAGCGGCGAGGACGACGACGACGACGGCGACGGCGACGACGGTGACGGCGACGGACGACGGAGAGCCAGCCAGCAGGACAGGAGACGGCAGCCAGCAGCAGGACACGCGCGAACGGGCACAACAAAAAAACACGACTGAGGCCGCCCAACGGCCACCAACGAATAACGAGGCGAAATTGAAAGCGAGCGATTGCCGCGCACAGCCGATGGATGGCTCGTTTTCGAATCGGACTCGTTTCCAGGATACTCAGTGTTAAGGATTCAGGTTGAACGAAATTGAAAGCGTTGGCCGCCGCCCGAAGTGGGTCGCTCGCTCGTCCTGCATTGCAGCAGGAGCGAAGGAGCAGAGGAGCAGAGAAGCCGAGGAGCGGGAGCAGCCCAAGCAGGAGCAACTGAAGGCATGTAAACAAAGCCAGGACGAAGCTCGAAGCCAGGTAAGGATGCGGAGCCGAGAGCCGATTGCCCATAGACCCACACAACCGAGCGCCAAATCCTGCCAACCGAAGGGTCCTTCTCCGCTCCCAGCTGAGCGCTGCGCTCTGCTTTAAAAGCTCGCGCTCACGCTTTACCGCTCAGCTGTGCGTGGGCGTTGCAAACAGCTGATGGCTGACAGCGCTCTCTCAGCGACCCTTCTCTTGGCCTACTTTGGTGACATTGCTTAGGCACTGAGAAAAAAAAACAGTTGCACTTGGTAATCACAAAAAACTCAAAAACATTTTTCATTTCAACAACGCATTGTTATTACAAAAAATATTAAAAATGTTTTAAACATTAGGCCATTCAAAAAGTGATACTAAAATTAGTTTTTTCTAAAAAAAACAAAAAAACTGAACTCGTAATCAAATTTATAATTAGTTGGCATTCACACACAATTTTTTTTTATTTTTTTCCCATTTTGGCAAAAAATGTGAACCTACTCCAATCAAAAAGTGTAGTTAAAAAAAATTTTTTTTAATTCACCCAAAAAGTAATTGAAATCGTTAGGTAAAAGAATTAGTTACTTGAAATAGTTCGCCACACATTTGCGGGTTTCCTTGCCTTTAGAAGAATGGATTTTGTTGTTGTTTTTTTCCAGTGTAAAAGCTCTTCAGCCCACACTCACACACTCAACTGCAATCCGAAGTGTGTTATCCTAGCTGACATTGTAAACATGACCAAAATGCATGTTCCCCAAGGTGCCAGCGTATTTGTGTGGGCGAGTGTGCGGGTGCAAAGCCACATTTGACGTGCCAGTGCCACATTCATTTGCATATCTGAGAGCGTTTTCAGGCTTACGCGCTAAGAGAGCGAGAGTGAGTGAGAGGGCGAGAGGGGGAGCGAAGGGGAGGGGGCGACCGCACACGCTCAAGTCTCATGTGTAAAGCATAAGATAAGTTCAACTTAATTAAAGTTTTAGTGGGGGACAAAACGTTGACTGCTTGGTTTTTCGGGCTCCTTGTTGCATAAATTATGACAATTGGCCATGCGGCTTACAAGATGCACACGAGACCTTGACTATTTCGTCTTATCATCATCATCATCATCATCGTAATTGCCACAAGTCGGTTTATTATTTATACACCACCCCCATCGTTCATAAATAAATCCGTGTAAGCTTTTATGTCTTTCTGAATTTTTCATTTCGGGTTGCCATAAACATTAGGGTTTGGTCAGGCATTGAACAAGCTGCATAATCCCAAGTTTAAGTCATAATTGGGAATCAAATCCCACCTAAACTGTGTTTGATTTTTTGATTGTAACTGGAGATTGGATTGGAGATTAGTTTAAACTGTTACCTAAGCTACAAGTTTAAGGTTCACAGAAATAATATTAAAACCTATTGCTCACCTCTTACTTTAATGTATTTGTTTTTAATTCTGTGAATTATATATTTAGTCTGGCTTAAAAGCATTTAAGTCTCTTTAGTATTTTATAAAATCAAGGTATTCAAAGCAACTACTCATCATCTTCATCGCCATTATCTTCTTTGAAAGCTACTTGATCTAGTAGAACTCGGACCTCCTCATCATGGTCAGTTTGGCTCCTGACAAAACTTGAGGGCATTGGGTTAACATCCCGAAGCTTGTTAAGCTCCTTCGCCTCGCGTTGCTTAATAGCGGTCATTACTTGGTGATAAGTCTGAGCCTCATGCTCCTGGTGGGCCAAAAGGATGATGGACTGCATTTCTTTTTCAGCACGTTGCTCGGCCGTAATTTTAGAGGAGGGACCCAGTTCGGTATTATCTACTTCCTCATTGGCACCGACATCATAGCACGAATAGACCGCAAACATTTTAATATTAAATTATTACAGTAAATCCAAAATGAGGATGTAGTTTATTTGTATATTAGATACATTCAACAGATTTTTCAAAGTTTGCTTGCATATTGTCAGCTAAGAGATTTTCTTTTCGTAATGCTTAACAATTTATAAATTCGCTACTGTTTTTTTTTTTTGGAAATTTTTGTAAAAAAAGTGCAATCTTCATTTTTGTTAAGTTAAAAAAGAAAAAAATTCTGAGCCCCAAAGAAAAATGAATATTGAAACATCAACAAGTTGCTACTGTAAACAGTTTTTTTTTTTTATCGAATAAGCGCGTAGTACGATAAACTTAATGTTTTATTATTGGGGTAGGAAACTACAATTGTTTTGGCTCAAAGTTGTGTAAGTTAGAAAGCCAGGACATTCAGAAAGCTGTTGTCGTAGGTCCTTTGTCAAAACTGTAAAGCTTCATGTAAAAGCTTTTCTTGGTTCTTGTCTCCATTGTGGTGAGTTTTGTTTTCGATATTTGTTGTTGGGGTAGGCTTAGGAAGTATTTTTTTTGAAAAACATTAATATTTATAAGAAAACTTTAAGTAAAAGTTTATCTTTTCAAACAAAAAAAAAGATTTTTTCGGGTTTTGCAAAACTAATTATTAAAGTAAAACACTTTTAATATTTGTTTGGTCACAAAACTATGAAACATTGTATTTAGCAAGAAGTTATACTTGTTTTTTTAATAAAGGGCCTTAAATGTCAGAACAGCTCCAACTGCAATTATGAGTTAATCACTGACTTCCCAATTATCTCACTTTCTAACTTTCTCCTGAGGCTTAGTTGTAAACAAATGTTTGCTAATTTAGGCAGGTCCCATCTATTTTTACCATGTCAAGGCCATGCATTAGAGCCGAACTTATTGATTAAAGTAACCGGTGTCAGTGCCGCCACCCCCCCAAAGCCTTCTATCTAAATAAATTATGGGCTCCTGCTCACGAGTGGTCGGCGACAAGTTCGCCACGCATTGTAACAGCGGAATAATAAAAGGTGCCATTGCGTCCGAGAACCAAAACAAAGCCAAAGACCACCACCTATTCAATTATGACCAACGACAATGCCGGTAATGATTAAAAATTCCATTTGTGGCCGTCGGTCAGCAAAAAGGCGTGATAAACAATATACCGTCACGCACTCGGGCACTTGTAACGAATTACCGAAAATTCAATCAGGTACCATTAATTTTAATTGGTTTACTGGGATACAAACAATTGTGATAACTATTTATTGGAAACCTACAAATTGTGCCTTTGATTTGAGAATTATTTTTTTAAAAACCAAAAGCATTTCAATCTTGTTGTTTGTTTGTACATTTGGTAATCACTTGGAATTATGTGTCTTTCTCTGATATTTAAATGTAGTATCCCGCTCAAATTAGGTATATAGAAAAGTTAATTATGTAGCAAACACATACTTCACATTGAGTAGGGCTATTAGCTAACATCTAATATCTTTCATACTCTTATAATTAAGTACTTTTAATAAGTAGCAGAAGTAGTTAGGAAGTTAGGAAAACCATTATTTACGATTAAAATTCTCATATCCAAGGAAAATAAATTAAAGCTGAAAAAGTTGTATTAAGTAATTTTGCATTTCTGGCTGACATTCACTTTAATATTCCCAGCCTTGATGGCCACATGTCGTATACGCGATGGAGTAACCGAGTTTTCTAATCCCGACCATGACCAAGAACAACAAAACTCTGCTCACAAAGGGCCACATAAAGTTGGCGCCAGTAGAAGAAGCAAAAAAACAAGAAAGGAAGCTAGCTTCGGCAAGCCGAAGCTTATATACCCTTGCAGTTACTAAATATGTCGAACAAATACATAAAAGCTAAAGAGCATCGAAGCTATGACGATTTTTCTATTAATTTTCCATATTGTTTATATGACAGCTCTATGATATAGTCGTCCGATTTTAATGAAATTTAACTTGTAACTCAAGACTCATTAGAAAACTCTATATTCCAAAAATTATTATTGTCTGATGAAAAACAACGAGGTTATATTTATATTTCCGTTATTTCTATATAGATTTTTCGATCTTTCCTATGGCAGCTCTATGATATAGTACTCTGATTTTTATGAATTTTTTTTTCAATTTAAGAGTATTTAAAAAACTTTATGTTCCAAAAATCATGCTCGTGGCATTAAAAACAACGACATTATAATTTTTTTCCATTATTTATATATATATATTTTGATCTCTCCTATGGCAGCTATATGATAGAGTCATCCGATTTTGATAAAATTTAATCCGAAATTCAATAGCAGTTAGAAAACGCCATCTGGAAGGAATCAAGTCGATCTGATCAAAAACAACGGTGTAAAAATTTTTTATTTCATTCTCTTGTATGGGAGCTATCCGATATAGTCGCCCGATCCGGCTCGTTCCGACATATATACTGCGTGCAACAACTACACAACTTTTGGGAAAGTTTCAGCGAGATAGCTTTAAAACTGAGAGACTAGTTTACATAGAAACCGACAGGAGGACAGACAGACAGACAGACAGACAGACAGACAGACAGACAGACGGACAGACGTACATACATATTTCGATTCAGATGGTGATGCTGATCAAGAATATATATACTTTATGGGGTCTGAGGTGTCTCCTTCACTGCGTTGCAAACTTCTGACTGAAATTATAATACCCTTTGCTCTGCAAGGGTATAAAAATGGCAAAAAATGAGTAGGGAAATAGCAAAGCGCTGCTTTTGGGGAAATCCCCAGAGGAAAATCCTCCGTTTTCGCTTTTTGCATGCAAAGCAAAGTGAAGTGAATCTGGGGCGTTGCACCGACTTGTTGCACTTACATTTCCGTTGCTGCCATCGTTGGCTGTTTCCGTTGCATCCAGTGGCAGATGCAACTGGGAGACGGCCGGCGTGGGTGTGGGCGTGGCCTGGGGCGGTGGCAACTCGCCGCCATAGTAATCCGCGACACTTGGAACCAACAGGACGCCCACTTTGTTGCGGGCCACCTGCTGAGTGGTGTTGCGACGATGCCGCGCGGGCAACATCATTCGGTGGGCCACCAAAGCCATGATTCGCTATTTGGAAAAACACCTCACGATTTTCCCGGAATATTTTCGAAATATTTCAGAATTTTTTTTGGGGCACACGCGGAGGGCAAATCAAAGCAGCGTTTGCCTTAAGGAAATGCTCGACGCCAACTGAGAGACACCAAAAAGAAAAAAACAGAAAAACAACCAGCGAACGAAAAACGAAAAGCGAAACTTTCAACGCACCGGAAAGAGGCGAAAGACGAAAGGAAATGGCCGACAGCTCTCTCGCTCGCTCTCACACACACCGACACAATCGTTTGTCCTTTCGGTTAGCCTGGTTGTGTGCGTGTGTGTGTCTGTTTGCGTACTAAACGCCGCATGTTTGATGAGCGTTTTGTTGTTGCTTCTTTAACGTTAATATTAATGGCGGAATCACATTGTCTGCGCGGAGTGTGTGTCGGTGTGAGCAGGATGTCTGTGTCTGTGTGTGAGTGTGGCGACCGTCGTGTCTGCTGCCTAGCCGCGAATGTATGAGTGCCACCGTCTGCGTGTGTGTTAGTTTACCAACACGTGCACGCCACATTTAATAAACGAATGCCGAAAAACAAGCAGGAAACATGGCGCAAATGTAATATTTGTTGTTAAAATAAAATGACGAAACGGAAAACAAGTTGGAACATAATAAAGTGTCACTTCGGCACAGGTGACTTTTGAATACGCTTTGAGTTTTATTTTTTTGAATATTTGTAGGTCTATTTTAGTAAAACAAAGTTTTTTAAATTTATTTTACTAAAACATTTTTAATTTAATTCAACAAAAATGTATTTAAATATATATTTAACTAATAATTATTTAAACTCGAATTTTTATAAATCAAATACTAAACTTTAGTTAAACAAATTATATCTCTTAACCAAAGCCTTTATAAAAAGCAAACAAAAAAAAGTGCACTGATTTTCTTTTCTAAATTCTCAGTTATCTACAAAGCTTGCCAATTGAAGGGTACTAAATATAATTTACACAATAGTAGAAAATTGTACAAATTGTAGAAATTTGGAAACGAATAAGCAAAATTCTCTATCAAGAACTTTAGAATTAGGAAAAAGGACCATGATGCTGAACAGATTGAGCTGGTGTTGTGGCACCGGCCTGCGCTCCTTCGCCAAGGACGTTCGCTTTGGCGTCGAAGCGCGCAGTCTGCTCCTGCAGGGAGTGAACACCATGACCAACGCGGTGGCAGCCACTTTGGGTCCCAAAGGCAGGAATGTGCTCATCGAACAGCTGCTGATATCGCCAAGGATCACCAAGGATGGCAGTACGGTGGCCAACAGTGTGCAGCTCAGGGATCGTCGCCAGGATATGGGTGTCCAGCTACTCCGCCAGGCGACCAACAATACCAACAACTTGGTGGGCGATGGCACCACCACTGCCACGATCCTTGCCCGTGGAATTGCCTGTCAGGGAATGCATGCGATTCGTCAAGGACAAATTAATGTTCAGTTGCTAAGGGAGGGTATCCTTCAAGGATCCGATGTGGTGTGCGAAGCTCTGGGAAAGATGTCCCAATCGGTAGAGACCATTGGCCAAGTGGAAGCCGTGGCCAAAGTAGCCTTGAATGGAGATGAACGACTGGCCGAAATGATTGGCGACACCATCATGGAGTTGGGAGAATGTGGAGTAGTCCTTGTGAAGGAGTCTAGTGGTCCCTTAGACGAGGTTAGGTTTTCTCAAGGCGCTACCTTGCCATCGGGTTATTGTTCCCCAATGTTTGCAAACAAAAGTAGACGCAGCAAGGTGGAGTTTGGAAACTGCTTATTACTTCTCACCTTGGCCAAGATTGATCAGCTGGAACAGATACTTCCCGTTTTGGAGTTGGCAAAGTTGAAGGAGAAACCTCTTTTGATTATAGCCAAGGATTTTTCGAGTGATTTGATTAAGATCCTGGCACTCAACCATTTGCATGGTCGAGTGCAGGTTTGTATCGTTAAAGCACCTAGCTTTGGTGAAGAACAGCGATTGGAAATGCAGGATTTGGCGTTGGCCATGGGTGCCCATCTTCTGGAGGGTGCTTCCTGCTTAAGGGAACTAAAGGAAGAGGATCTGGGCGAGGTGGGATCGGTAGTGGTTACTGCCAAGGAGACGCACCTTATGCAGCCAGTTGGAGTCAACGAGGATCAGCTGCAGAGTCGCATTGATTACCTTCGTGAGCTGGTTGGTGAGGCACTTACCGAAGAGGAGCAGGATCGGCTGAATATACGACTGGGTCGATTGCAGGGCTATCTGGCCACCATTTACTTGGGTGGCAATAGTGAACTGGAGGCAACCGAGAGAAAGGATCGCTTCAACGACGCCATGCATTCCGTGCGAGTGGCAATTAGTGATGGAGTTGTTCCCGGTGGTGGAACCGCTTTTCTGCGCTGTATTCAAGCTCTGGATGAATTACCCCCCGCGGAGGTGATGGAATACCAGGTGGGCAGGGAAATTGTGAAGGATGCCCTTCGGCTTCCTTGTTATACAATCGCCAAAAATGCTGGAGTGGATCCCAACGAGGTTCTTCAAAAAGTATTAGCAGGCACTGGCAGTTTTGGATACGATGCCGCAAAAGGGGAGTATGGAGATCTCATGGAATGCGGAATTGTGGATCCCACGAATGTGATGCGAGCTGCCATTTCGGATGCCGCCGGAATCGCCTCACTTTTAGCCACCACCGAAGCGCTCATCACTAAGCAACCGATCAAACCGAAGATTGCCAAGAATCAGGTTACCCAGGATCTGGCCAAACTTGTTGGCATGTAGTCGAATTTTTTAAAGTTAGTGAGGAAAAGTAAAGAATTGGTTTTAGAATTTTATCATCAGAAAAGTAGGCTATGAAAAATCTCGCTTAAACTAATAAATTCTATGTTGAAATAGCAGATTAAAAGCTCGTTTTTAATGGTAGAGTTCTTTATTTATTTAAATACTAACGAATATATACGCAATGCAGAAAAACATTTTAAAAGAAAATTTAAAAAGCAATTATTCAAATTCTACCTGAAATCCTCACTGAAAGTTATTATTAACAACATTTTTTATCATTCTGCACTTTAATATATTTACTATATCGAACTTACTATAGACAGTAATAAAGTTTCTCTTTGAGCGACGTTTGCAGTGTATTTGTGGTTCTCCCCATTTATGACATGTCTCCTTGTCGAATCCCTAATTTGAACATATACGAACACGCATGCCGCATTCAATAGACCCCGACTCCTTTGCCACACACAAATAACGCTCAGTCAGAAGTTGACGTCCTTCGGCTCCTGTTCACTCACTCGACACAATTCCAACTTGACCTTAACCATTTGCTGCGTTTTGTTTGGGCGCCAATGGACAACAAACAAAGGCGAGTGGTGGGGGAAAAATTGAGGAAATGTCAGCAGCCGCAATTCTATTTATCACAAAATATATGGGCGTTACATATAGGGGCCATATGTATATATCATTTAGGTAAGCATATAGCGGTGTCATTAACGGTGATTAGGCGCACTTGAGTGCTGGAGCTGGCAGCACGTATACGCCACGATGGACTGGCCAAGGGAAACATCTGTTTATTAAGCCGGTTGACCTTCCCATACGCATGCACCCACACACATACACACACACACACAAAACCAGCATGCATAATTAACCGGCATGGGATATTTTTGGGTCAGTGCCATCCATGGGTCGTTGTTCGTCTTCGCTGGCCACGAAATTGCACTCTAAATAATGCAACAGGACCTCTTAGAGGTAAATCAATAAAATTGGTGGATAAAGAATTTAAGAAGTTGCCTGAGAACTTTGCAATGCTAGCGATGTTTAAATACAACAGTTATAGAAGCTTACGAGTAGACTTACCTTGACACGAAGATACAGATACGGATACGGATACGGATACGGATACAGCTAAGCATATACATATAGATAGATGGGCGGTACGATATAGGTGCCTGGGCTGAGGACGCCGGGTCTAACGGTTCTTGAGAAAGCGCAGCATTTTGCGCCGCCCGATTCTTTGTGCCTATGCCTGTGTGCAAAATGATATGGGACCGTGCTGTCGATGGCTGTGAATGAGATATAGAAAATACTTATCGGGATTAGCGATTGCGATTCCCCAATTCCTGGCTCACACGTATGCTCCATTGCTGTTGCTCCAGTTACCCGGTTTATTGTTCGTAAATAGAAAATCCGACGACAAAACAACAAGCCTGACAAGTTGTCGCCTCTTGTTTTAGCAACGAACCCACCACCTCCCATTATAATTTCCCAAAAAAGGAAGGAAGCGTAAAGGACAACACCAAGCTGCCATGTCTGGCAATACAACAGGGATATACACGAGCACAAACACCCAACCGAGGTCCTCGACTTGGCCGAGTGTTTTTTTCGTATTTTTTTTCGTTTATTTTGCTTTGTTTTTTGCCCTGTTGTCTGACAACTTCCGACCCATAAATCAAAATGACCCGAAACGTGCGGCAAAGAAGAATAGCCAACAAAAAGTTCATCAAATTTAGCCAAGGATATTTAGGGCACATTTTTTAGACGATTATAATTTTTAGGACCTATTAAAAATAGCTTAGTGTAAAATAAGTTTAAACTTTTTTAGTATACAAATTTTTTTCACGAAAAACCGACAAAATCATACACTAGGAAGACATGTAAAAGTGATATAGTGAAATAGAGAGTTTTTTAAGGAAATTAATTTTCCTTGCTTATAGAAAACAATTTTCTGTTCTTAAAACTATGTATTTTGTATATGGTTTATGATATAACGGATTTATTTACATTTTAAATTAAAGTGCCTAGCGAGGTGCAAAACCATTTATTTTTATGTTTCCAACCAGGAAGAAAATTCTGGTATATAAAATATACCACACGTGTGGTGAATTTGTCACAGTCACACTGGCAGTGTTGGAAAACGTGGGAAGACCTTAGGGCTGCAGTCCCTTTGTTTACCAGCCGATTATTAAGTGAAAATTAAGGCAAATTATGGAGTATAGTAAGAATCTTATAATGAATCCATATTCCATACCAAAATATGGAAACAGAGAAGCCTAAAGACAGTTTTACAAATGTTCGAATCGAACCTGTAATCAAAAACCCTCAGTGATAACAGCGGATTTCAAATATCTGCGCCGCTCACTCACCCTGATTTGTTTTTGTGTGCGACCTTTACTCACTATTGCTGTTCCTTCGCACATGTTCGATGTGGTGAAAATTAAATGCTCGATTCAAACCAAATTGCAGAGGAGAACATATGGGACTAGTCAGTTCCCGGAGATGTTTTTATATTTTTAAAAAAGTTAAATGGCAAACCTCAGCCCGTTGGTCTACTGGTCGCAGACCAAACAAACGATACTACTAAAAGTCGACCTCAAGGATGCCAAGGTAGGTTGAATTGAAATTATACAGTTTTAAGCACCCCGGTGAAAAATCAATAATGGTAGCTGAAAATTTTCCCAGGGAGCTATCGCGGACTTTTCACCGGTTTCGGTGAACTTCAGTGCCAATGGACACGGAGCTCGAGGAGTGAATGCCTACAAATTTGAGCTGCACTTTTACGCCCTAATAGACGATGAGACGGCCACCTTTGCGGTTAGCGATAATAAAATCGAGCTGCAAATCCGGAAACTGGAGCCGGAATGGTGGCCCCGATTGGTGGCCACTCCCCAGAAGCCCCACTGGCTGAAAATCGACTTTGACCGCTGGCGAACCGAAGACGATGCTGAGCTGGAGGAGAAACCCAGAGATGTTCGACAGGATTACCAGAAGGAGTACGCCGAGCTGCAGAAACGCGAGTTGGGTTATATTAAAGGTTGTACATCTGCTGATATACATTTAATTTAGCGAGTATTTTACCCAATTTCTTTTCCAGAGAAAACCAAAAAGGTTTACATGATATTCTACAACCTGGCCATGTTCGTGGGCTACCTGTACATAATGGTCGTAATGGGAGTACTATACTACCGCGATGGCTACGATAGCATCAGCAAAACATACGCCAATGTGGGCAACGCCTTCAAGTTCATTCAGCTCCTGCAATATCTGGAAGTGATGCACCCCATCTTTGGCTACACAAAAGGTGGTCCGGTGGTGCCCTTCTTCCAGGTGTCTGGAAGAAACTTCATCCTGTTCCTTATGATCGAAATGGAGCCACGCATGCACGGAAAGCCCGTGGTTTTCTATGTATTCATAATCTGGTCTTTGGTCGAATTGGTGCGGTGAGTAGCCTCTTTATCGAAGAGTGAATGGATATCTTATCGAACAGTGAACTTTACTTCACTAGATATCCGTTCTACTTGGCCCAACTGCTTAATCGCGAGGTGGGCCTGCTCACCTGGCTGAGATACACCATCTGGATACCGCTCTACCCCATGGGCATCCTGTGCGAGGGCATCATCGTGCTGCGCAGCATTCCCTACGTCGAAGAAACGAAACGTTTTACCGTGGAAATGCCCAACCCTTGGAACATAACCTTCGACATGGTTCTCTTCCTGAAACTATACCTCCTGCTGCTCATAATGCCGGGCAGCTACCTAGTCATGTCCCACATGGCGAAGCTGAGATCCAAAAAGCTGGGAAAGGGACGCGCCAAGCGGAGGCAGCACCTCCACGCCGACTAGTCGATTGACACACTGCCAGGAGCAAGGTTCGTTCGACTCATGGCAGCAAGTTTTCCTATTTTCGTTTAGCGTAAACAAAAAGTCCAAAAAATATCTACATCCACCATACTATACAACTTTGACGTTCATTAAAATTTCTATCATAATGCAAATGTAAATTGTTTCCATTTCATCACAGTGGGCTTGGTCATGAGTTATATTTTCCAAATCTTAGATATTTAAAAATTCTTATAGTTATTCATAGCAGTAGCCATTTACGATATATATTTTGGGGTTATAATGGAGTGTGGCTTAAAAGTTACCAAACCATTTACCTCATTTAACATTGTTTTTTTTAATACAAGCTGCTCTAAATAAGCAACCAATAAATCATTATATAATATATCAAACTAAAGTAGCTAACAGGCAATAGAAAGTAATCACTTAATTGTATGACTATAGCCTTGAAAACTCTGTGGAATTTGTAAGCCTGAATTCGCTCCCCCATTTCCACGTTAAAATCGATATTTGTTCATAGAGTTGTTATATATTTTATACTCCCTTTTAATCCGATTGCTTTAAACATAATTCCTGCTAGTTTAGACTGATGCAGTTTTTGGCACAACTTTCGAATGTATATGTATGCTTTTTCGACCTTATCAGAAGGAAGTGCACTGATTTTTGAACAAAGTTACTATGTCAGAAAGCGGATACTTGAGGGGAATTTATGTATTTTTGTGTGCTCACTTGTGTGCAGATCTAAGCCAACATACCAAGAGACTCCGCGCACTGAGTGTTAGCATCCCGTCAGCCATTGGCTCTTGTCCCTCTTTCGCCGTTTGAAGGGTAATCCAATTTGCACTCGAGGACGATGCACAAGTAGCTCCTGATCCACTTGACCCGGAACTGGCTTTCAATTCTGGCTGAAGCTCAATGGCAGCTCCCAACTTTGTCATTTCTTTGAGAGGACGTCGCATGCACATGCGTTTATTATTTATGGGGAATATGGCGTGGTAAGACCTTTAATTATGTCCGAGTTCCGATTGCGTTTGGAACATCAATTGAAAGTGGGTGGTGAACGGAGTGCTGGCAGAGCCCCTACACTTGAGTTGGACAAAGTGGAACACTAATGGATTTGACGATAAAAGCAGCCGGCAGTTGTCACCTGCTGGGCGATATTAATGGCTCCAGCACGGGCCGCCAATTCGTCCAACAAGCCAGCGAAATTTATCCCCATCAAGTCCCTTTTCGCGTGAAATATTCATTGCAATTTGCACTCTCGCTCGGCTCGCCTGCACTTTTTTCCGTATTTTTTTTTTTTTTTTTTTTTTTTTTTTTAGTTTTTTTGAACCACGTACGGGGATACGGAACTGAGCCGAACCGGGGTTAACGCTCAACTAATCACCGACCATGGCCAGCCGGCAGCTAATAAACCTCCGAGAGAAAGGCCTGGTCACTTGCTGATAAATGGGTTTTTGATTAATGCCGAGCGCGATTGATTTTCGGCCACCGAGCAGTGGAGCCAGCGGTTTTAGCCGCCCATCCGGAGTCGGAAAAATGTGCGGATTTATGCCATCTGACAGCAGTCCACTGGCTAGATGAGATGAGAAAGTGCAGGCCTCAGCAGTTGCCTGCCTGCCTGCCTGCATTCATGATTTACCGCCTTCTGCAGCTTTTCGCTGCCACCCACTTTTCAGTTGCTCCCCTTTGTGGTGGCCATTTATCAACCGCGCCCCTGGCAGCCGGCAGCCCACTGGGGAAGGTCAGCAACTAAGCCACGCGCCCGAAACCAAAAATATGAACAATTGGCCCAGCGTAAATTGCACGCAATCAAAGATAAGTGCGCTGGTTGCCAGGCAATGGGGGAAATTCCAATACCAAGCCAGGGAAAAAGCTAACAAAAGGGGTTTGGAACAACTACTCAATTAAAAAAAAAAAATGAAGGAGCTTTCAAATTATATTTTAAAAGAAATTGAGAAATATATATTAATATATATTTTGTACTCTGGTCCGTATTTTGTATTATTTAATTTTTCTAATTAAGTATACGTAGTAATTTTAAAATCCAATTTAACTAATTCTTTGACTTTTTATTAATACCAATATTTTACAAATATAACAAGATCTTATTTATTTTTTTTGTCCAAATAGATTTGATTTAGGTCAAACCATATAAGGAAATGCAATCTTAAGTGTTTCCTCTCTGCTTGTCTTGCAGGCCATCTATAAAACATGGCAGATGTGTGATTTCCTGTCAATATATGTATGTGTATCAGGCGTCGACTGGAGGACAGCGAAAACCGAAGAAAAGGAAACCGCACCCCGACCAACTCTGCACTTGTTAATGACCTCTTTGTGTCGGACATCGAAATGCATTTCCTGACCCGGCCACATGGCACGAAAGTATGCAATAAAACTTCCACTAATTGCAGGACACAACCGCAACGAGGTTACTGCCACACACCACAGTAGAAAGTGCCGAAAGTTTACGAATTTTATTGCATTTAAAAAAGCGCAATGAAACGCTCGTATATGAAAGAGATACAAGCGATTTAAGTGCAAGTTAAAAAATTCAACCATTAACACGTAAATATTGGAATATTACTCAGTTATATTATTCAAGAAAAAACTCATAATTTTTAATGCTATTTTAAGAATTTATTTTATTCATTTATTTAAATCACCTGAAATTTTTTCAAGTTTGGAAATTCCTTCACAGAATTGAACATGTTTACCAAAAAACACATTAAAAATTTCCCAAACACTAGAAAACAAAGCACAAAATAAACTTTTGCATTAAATGACACCATTATGTACAAATTAGCTATTATGACGTTGATTTGATTTTTAATTAAAATAAATACGGAGAGTGCTTGAATAGCCGGCAGTCAAAAGCAATAAAATCAAATGTAATAAAAGCCATATAGTATGCTTATGAATGGGGCCAAGTATCAGCAAACACTAAACGGGATATATTCGCAGTATGCACTCGAAATGATTTGTGTACTCAAATGGCTAGAGACATCTTCAATGGAGCCACCGAAAAGCTGACTCACAGCCAGCAACAATTTTGCATTTGCATCCGCTTTCGATTCGAATTGCTGGTGGCGCCAGGCCAAAATCCATTGATGGCATCCACACCCGTTAACACACACACACACAGAGACACACACTTACACAGCCCGAGGAAGTCTTAACCCCTTGTGAGCCACACATCCTTACTTTATGACTACTAAGTAGTTCAACGCCAGGGAATCCTCGTTGAATTTTGGCTGAGGAAAATGGAGAAACTATAGGTCTTTGGGTCACGTAGCCGAAAGTCCTGGGAACGGGCAGCATCAGGAACTCTCAGCGACTACAAGCCGGTTTTATTATAGTTTCCTTCACAAAAGTTATGATAAATGAAAAGCAGTGGCTAACAGATGTTTGTGATAACTACTCGGACTTCAGCTCTGAATGTAAGTTTATGAAAAATGAGCCCGGATGATTATTCGATGGCAGCTGTGAAGTGTTGGGGCAGCAATCAAATGTCATTACTTACAAACTTATAGAATGGCACAAAGGCAGAGCGAAATGGAACCCAACATTGGCTGGGAATAAAGGACCAGGAAAATGGTTACATTTGAAATCGAACTGGATACCGTACACAAAATGAATTACATTGTGAAATTGCGAAGAGATTGAATTTCCAGCATTCAGTTTGCTGCAATAGTGCAATTTGTCCATGCTTGAAGTTATTGAAAAGGATTGGCTTTTGAAAAAATATATACGTTCAAGTACATTTTTTAAAGGATTATTTTAAACAAAATATAGGTAAGCTTTAAATGCATTTTTAGGTAAATTTTATAATTGTAAAAAAAACTTTCAATAAAGTCAACTTTGTAAATTTTTTTTAGATTCAGTATAAGCCATTCGCAGTTGTAGTGTTTTAGGTTTTTTTAAGGTTCTTAAGTTTTACAAAAACTATTGTTTATAAATGATGGATGGGGAAATATTGTTTTATTTTTTAGCTCAACCGTTTAATGGCTTAAAAAAGTGGTTTAACTGACCTTTTTAACATGCCATTCCCTTATGACCCTCACTCTTTTAGACGCCTCGCCCACAAATTGTTGGCCAGCGGGCAGGCAATGAATCTTCAAAGACGCTCCGCAAAAGACCTCAGGGCAAACTGAGCCACCACCCAAAATGTGGGTGCTGAGTGGGAGGTGGGTGGACAAAAGGCCACGCAATCGAGGGGCAAAAAAAAAAAAAAAAAAAAAGGCTGACAGCGTAAAGAGCGCAACTTGGCCAAATGCTTTTGCTCTGCCCCTTTTTATTATTACATATATTTTCACTTATTTCTGGCTGAAAATTGGCTTGGCCCCCCACTTTGGGCCTAGACTGATACTTTCGCCTGGGTTTTCGGTCCTCGCCTCAACTGAACAATGAAGGCCAGCGCAATTACTGAAGTGGATAATTAGAGTTTGAAGCGGGCCATAAGCATGTGGCTGAATAAATATTTAAGCAATTTTATCGAACGGCAAGCACTCATCATCCATTTATATTGCAAATATTTCGGCCTTTGTATGTTAATCCTTGTGATGTGCTGATGTTTGCCAACTGAATTTGCCAACATTAATGCAGAATAACAACTCTTCCAGCGCTCAGAAAATTAATTTGTAGTCATGCGGAACAGGAGTAATTAATTCTCTTATGCATACATCCGTTTAAAAACATTTTAAGCCTAAATTAGCCATGCCAAACAGTTCACAGCTGGAAACTGTTATGAAATTTAAAATTTAATTAAAATGATATGCGAAAAATTACAAAAACCAAACACAAAACATTGAGGGAAACAAAAGAAAGGACACCCAAGGACCAACTCATCAAAAGCCTAAGCCAGCAGGGAAATTTTCGTACCGGCCTGGAAACATTGTCCACTTTGTGAGTCCCTCTGGTAAATTAAAAATGTATAAAGAATGAAAAGCTTTTTAAAAGTGATTAATTTCATATTCTTCACATTTCTCTCGTAGTCTTATTAATTGTTTGTAACATTTTTAATATCTAAGGCATGTGTAAATTAAATTGTGTGACAGATACTATAGAATTTCATTTTAGGATGATAAATAAAACAAACCTTTATAGGTTTAATTAAATCTTTCAAAGCTGATATTATCGGTCATTAACAGTTGAATTAATTAATTTGATTTAAGACAATTAAGAGCATGTAAATTTAATATGAAGTTGCAAATACTGGTGCCAACGGCTGTCAATTTGATGGTTATTTATCAAAAGCTTAAAATCTGATAATTATGATTGCACTTTTGCACATAATAAGCTATACGAAAAAAAATGCAACAAGTTGGTTTTTATGTTTTATCGCCCAGTTTGGTCGATAAATAACTGTTTAATATCATTAACGGAAGAATGTTCTTTTTAATTTAAATTTATTTTCTATCGTTAATAAATAATTGCATTTTATGCCTTTGTAAATATTACATAAATACTATCGATTTTTTGAAAATTATAGTTTTGCCTACTTAAAAATAAGCTTACAGTAATGTAAATATTAAACTATTGAAACTTAATGTACACTAGGTTTAAATATCATGAGGCTTGTATTTGTACAATTTATTAACTTATTGAAACGACATACAATATTGTTGGCAAACTTTAGTGTTTAAAAAACTTCTTTAACGTTTTAATTTTTGAAGTAAAGCACACATGAGAATATATCCAAATACAAATACAAATATAATAGCTAGGCTCAAATGAGGGGACCAGCATGTTTCTTTTGACCCTTAAGAACCCTTCGATTGTGCGGCATCGCGTAGTACAACTTGCTCCAAAAGAGTGGATCTCCCCATTTGAGGTAAGTGTTCAGTTTGAGGTAAGCTCTCAATTCGCTATCGATGCCATTCATGTTCTCGAGTTCCCGGTAGAGAATTATGATGATCCTTTTTCGTTTATCCTCCAAAGTGGCCTGGTAGGCGATCCTGAACTCCATTCGAGCCCACACAGAATCGATAAAATGCTGCGATAGGATGATGATAACCCTTTTTGAATCGTCCACTGTGCGAATGATCTGCTCTGGAATGCAATCGCCCACCAACCAATCTCGATCGTGCAAACATATTCGAAAGGGATGAGGGCCACCCTCCAATTTGGGCATCAGCTTACTGATCAACTCCTCGTCTTTGTGGGAGTACGAAATGAAGGCATCGTAGGTCTTATTCTTGTCCAGTTCCTCCTCGGAAACCCACCACAGGCAGAGGTTATTATTGTACAGCCAGATCTTCAGCTCCTGCTGGAACATCAGATAGAAAACGGTGAGCAGGCAGCTAATAATCACCAGGCCACCGATCACACAGCTGATGAGCAGGACATACGAAGGACACAGCTCGAAAGCCTCCATCTGCTGGAAGGACTTATTCTGCTTGGGGCAAATGACATTCGCGATATCCATAACCCTTTGGGGATTGGTTCGCACAAAGAACAAAAGTGGCAAGGCAGAGCAATCGCAAGATATTGGGTTTCCCGAAAGTGTTAAAGTCATCGTGTTGTTTTCCTGTTGAAGGAAATCCACGAACTCCTCGCTGATCGACTGAATCTGATTGCTGCGCACATCCAAGTGGGTAAGATTCTCCGGGAGCTGGTCACCCGATCCCAAAGTGGTCAAGCTGTTGTTGGCCAAAAAGAGAAAGCTGACATTTGCATAACCTTTATGTTCGCCGATTGCCGGTAGACTTGTGAGGCTATTGTTGCCCACCTTAATTGCTGTGGTCACTAGAGTGGTGTAGGGTAATTCCGGGAGTGACCCCAATTGGGTGCCACGGCAATCCAAAATCAAGCTCTTCTTTGCCTGCTGCACCCAGCAAATGCAACGCGGATCGCAGTGCCAATCAGCCGATTTATATTGACAGGTCTCGTCATTGGTGCAGACCACCGCCTCGTAATTCATTAAAAGCGTGGCTCCGTAAAATTGGGTGTTCACCATCTCGATATAATTCAGAGTGACTACATTCTGGAATACACTTGGTGACATTGCAGTCAGCGAGTTTCGGCTCAAACGCAAAACAGTCAGCGAGGACAGCGGGGCGAAAATCGTGCTGCAGGATGAAGGATATCTCAAAAGGATTAGAATAACATTACTTAAGGAATCAGTGGGGCTATCGGGATCTATCACACCAAAAATGTTTCTTAATACTGTTCATTTACAGGGAGCCAAAAATCTTATCGCATATTGTTACTAATGCTGTAAAAAACTTTCTAAAAATTTAATGACCTTCTACATAGTTTCTATATGTTTAATTTGTTATATAGATGAATAAGTTAATTTAAGGCAATGTACTAATTTTATTTAGCTACAGATAATAAAAAAAAATCAAATCTACTTCATGAATAATCCATTTTTTGATGTAGAAAATGTATAATAATAAATATTGTTCTTATACAAAATTTTCTAGCTATGGTGGTGCTAAAAGGATGATTGGTTTTTACAGTATGTCAAAAAAAATTAAGAAAGAAAAACAATGGAAAGTCTCATTTCTTTTATTAAAGTCCGAAACTCCAAGGATTGTGTTTTGTGTTTATCACTTATCAACCATTAAATATCTAATTAATTTTTTTTTTCAACCACATCTTATCTTATCGACTTATAAAAATATTACTGTGCGTCTTAAGTTATTTGATGGCGTCTTAGGAAGATATGGAAGTATTCATTTTGCGGTTGATAATAAAAGTCATTATGATTTTGATTATTTTCACATGAAGCGAAAACTGTTACTACGGTATGCAAATACCTATCTGATTTTTATGATCAATAATCGAAATCACCGAACCAGATAAGGATCAACTAATAAATAACGTTAAACATTCTTTTCGGAGCCTAATGCTTACAACAATAACACAAACAATTAGTATCTGGGTGATAGAAACCGTGATAACCCCACTTGGCTGTCAGGTGAGACACCTAATGCTTGTTGAGTTATCGCCCGTGCCGAAAGTTGATAAGAAAAAAAGGCAGCAGCCACAGACCACAGCGATAAGGCGGAGAAGACTCGGGTTCAATGGAAATCGATTAATTACTTTGGGTAGAGGTTCTATACTTCGAGCCCTATCGCTGTGTGGGCCATCTTTTAATCAGGGCAAGCAAGTGGCGAAAACAACAAAGCCCCCCACTTTTCCTCCCCCTTTTTTCCACCCACCTTGATAAGTCAGTCAGTCTATTTTTGGATAGATCCAGAAGGGTTAGGTTCGCGAGACCCTTAAACGTATCGTTGTGCAGGGTGCCAATAGCATTGCACGAGAGATCGAGGGTTTTCAGGTTGACCTGATCCACAAACATTTCCGCGGGCAATTCGGTGAGGTCCTCGTTGCCGTTTATCTTTATGAGCTCCAACTTCTGGGTTCCCCTGAACATTTTCCTATGCACTCTCGGATTGGCCGAGGCCAATCGCAATTCCTCCAGGTTTTTCATGGCACCGAACAAGTGTGGCTGCAGGAAACCGTTGCGAATGCGAAAAGGATCCGTAAGGACGAGGGTCAAGTTCCGCAGCTGCTGAAGTTCGCGGAGCAGCGGAGTTCCGAAGGAAACCATTCCGGGACTCACGATTGACAGCGTTTTCAGGGTTCCATTCACCGTGGAGAGCATATTTCCCGGCAACTCTGACACATTCACGTTGAGCACTAAATCCTTCAAGCTATCGAATCCGTGGAATATCGACTCCTGCAGGACCTCCACATTGCTGAAGAACTTAAACTTTCGCAGACCAGGTACCTTTCCGAAATGCCAGCAGGTAATGTTCATTTCGGGCGACATTCCCTGGTAATTATCGCCGGAATTGAGAACATCCCGCGTGACCACCGTTTCCGTGGTGCGATCACGAAATACGACCGCTTTCACTTTCTGCACTCCCAAAGTCTCCAGCAGTTCGGCGACAAACGTTTCCGGCCAAAAACTATACGCATCGAATTCGATTTTCACCAGTTCGCTGATGTTGAAACGCGGCAGCCAATTCAATGCACCCGCGGCATAATAACTCATGTACAATGAAGTTCCCGATTCGGAAACCTCGAGCAGCATGGCATACTCATCGGGACAGTGGAACCTCACTACGTTCGCCTCGGCGGCACAGGTGCACTCCGGACTGTGATCATAACAAAAAGTTGGCAGCGGAATAATTTGGCCCATTGCGTTCGGCACCAATATGGCCCAAAGGAGCCAGACGGCCGGTAAATAACTCAACATTTTGCGGACACTTCACCTTGCCGTTTCTTGGCATTTATTATTTATGATTTTTAATTTTATTGGGTTTGGGTTTTGGGTTCGCGACGAGCCAGGAACGTAACGAAAAATTGCGACGCGGATATGTGAACACGGCAAAGCTTCGGCGATGACTAAATCACAGCTGTTTTCGGCTCTTGCCAGCCAACTCTGTTATCTGGCCAATTGGCTTGGCCTGCAGACTGTTGTGACTTTTTTGTGGTTCCCTATCTCGGCCAGTATCGGCACGCTGAGAGACCCGTTGACATGGCTGCCATGTGAGGCGCCATTATCAAATTAGAGATGGCAAGCGGCAATCACTCGGCGATTTTCACCCGTGATGATATCTTAATTATGGGTCGCAAAGTACAAGATGATTGTGAAATGCGAAGGGTCAAAGAACGACTGTAGTTTTCCATTAGTTTTGATTAAATGTTCAAGAAAATATATATTTCTTATAATATTTAGTAACTATATATCTAGCATCTCTTATAATTTTATGAGCATTGGCTTGACCCAAATAAATTGTTATTTTCTATATTACTACTATTATAATAGTACAACATTTTTCCATCTCTATCCGTAGAAAATAAATCATAAATTTATTATACCTTTCTAACTTGTGAATCCTACAACATGACTCATTTAAATACAACTAATTCGACATTCATCTTGGTTTGCAAGACACTTTCCTTTGACGATAACATTTTATAATTCCTTGGCTTGCGGCTATCTTGCTGAATTTATTTATGCCCAAATGCCATAATGTTAATGGTGTGCTCATGTTTCCTATTTCTGAATTTCTGGCCGTCGATAAGAATTGTTTATACATTTTTTTGTTTTCTTACTGACAACTTTGAGCGGTAACTTTTCAAGTGTTTGCACGTTCTTAGGAGCAGTGTTTATGAGTCAATGAACACAAAATAATTTGGGAGTCACACGAAGTCTACGAATTTTTGTGGTCTAATTTCGGGCTTCTAAATGTTGTTAAACTTAAAAGGAATCTAGCTTCGGCGAGCCAAAGCTGAAATACCCTTCCAGTCATCACAAATGTCAGCATAAAAATAAACAAATTTTGCAGTTTGTAAGAAAATCAAATTTCAAACGTTCAGAGGAATGTCACTTCAAAATGTAATTAAAATTTTTAAAGTTGTGGACTTAGAAGTACCGAATTTTTATCACTTGTCAACAAACCCATTTTTTTGGAAATCGGATTTCATAAAAAAATAAGCGCAGAAAATAAAAATTTAACTAATGGGGTAAGCCATATAAAATATGGATATGCAAGGGTAGAATAAAAAGTTATTTCTGACAATTTTATTATCATTTCTAACGATTTCACAGAAATTATAAATTCCCACTCACGTTCCGATTAAATCGTAAAAAAATTTACCTTTCAGAAATATTGGTTGAGGGGCTTAAACCAGAAAATAAATAACTTGTGGGAATTAAACCGTTTTTGATCCATTAAAAAAGAGGCCCGCCATGAATATGCGATGAGAGGTCCCAATATTTCGCCCTAAGCCGCGCCTTGAACTGTCACGCATGGAGCACATCCTGGCATATCCTGACACATCCTGACAGGTGTGTGGCAGCCCACGAAGGAGCTTATCGCGCCTCGCCACCTGGCCAATCTGCAACTGGGCCAGACACTCAAAAATAAATAAGGGCCATGCTGGGCCAAGTCAATCACTTAAATGGCAGCCTTCGAAGGAAGTTGGCCTTGAACGCGCCAAGGACGCAGCCAGTCATTATGGACTTTGGCACATTGTCGAGTTGTCGAACTTGCTGCGCTCAAGTTGAGCCGTCTTCATTATAAGTTGCTCATAATTCATTTCGCGTTGGCGGCCCGAAACTCAATTAACAGTTTTTTGTTTTTTTTTTTTGTACATCCTACAGGTCCAAAAAGTTTTGAGCGACATTTTAATTGGGTGTGCTTGGTCTACTCATGCAGTTCAGCATCGCCGCAGGACACACATCAGAAGTGACCTTTTCGGTCCCGGCTAAATGTGAAAAGGCAAACACAATTACACGCCCAATTACACAAACGGCAGGCAACGATGGTGTAAGAGTCCTCTCGACAGTCGCAAACGTATTACGTATACGCACTGTAGCTCGCAAAAAGCGTAGACTGTGTGTGTTGCACCTTTTTGTCGGCCTACATTCACGCACATCCTGTATTCTCTTAGATAGTGATGACAAAAGCTGTTCTCTGGCGAACCAGAACTTGTGGGTAACTATAAATTTTTAACTTGTTAACAGCCTGCTTGCGGTGAGGTTTGTTTTAATTTTTTTACTGAGATTTAGTTAAGCCAAACAAAGAAAAATTAAATAGTGATCACAAGGAAAATCCAGCAAATTGTTTTCACTTATTTACCTCAAAACTGTGTATCATAATTTCCCTAGTTATGTATTTAAATAATTTATAGTCATTATTAAATTTGAAAACAATGGCAAACATCAATAATAAATGTCTGTGATTCATAATCATTTAAAAATTACCACATTTCGCACAGCTAATTTAACTACTTAGTCCACTTTAGCTAATGGTAATGCGTTCAAATAGAATCCGATTATCTCCGCCAAACACTCGCTGCCCAAAAACCAAAATGCGGGTTATCTATGCATATATGCATCTGCACATCTGGCCTCCAGTGGAACAGTAATCTGACTGCTGGTAAATGCCAGTGGGAAACAAAAGGGCGCTTGACTTTTGACTTTTTGGCAAAAACTAGACGCTGGAGTTGTTTCGCAAATGGTAATGAGCGGACGTGCTAAGAAGTCTCATCAATCAGAGCTGAACTCGGCAGCTTTTAAAGGGTCGTATCTCATAAATGTCAACACCAAATTAACGTCATACCCGCAGAAACATACACACACTCACTTACTCACGGCCATTGGGGAAATTTATGTTTCTGGGGATGCCAGGAACAAGATTCAAAATCCTCTGTCAAATGTCAACCATGGCCATTGTGTTGGCAGGCACGCCACTCAGATTGGCCCAAACCTATTTGACATTTGGCAAATTGCATGCCAAAGGAAAATGCATTTTGAGTAGCGCATTGCAAATTAAATCAAAATACACACAAAACCCTCGACAACAGCTAAGCTCACTGGATAAGTAAGCGAAGAGCAGTGGCATAAACATCGACAAAAGCCAAATTGCGCTTCTCTTGCAGTTCGCCAACCGCATATATACTTTCCCCTTGAATTCCGCAGATGAGTGGCTTTTGTATGGCGGTAACTTTGTGCGAGTGTGTACTTGAAAAATCAAATCAAATTCAATCCGAAAAAAAATCAGAGAAATCGAATAGAATAGGAATGGTGAACAAGATCAACTATTAGCAACAAATCAATACGGTTTTGTGTTTTGCCAGTAGATGGCTGGCTGCCTGGAAGGCATCCCTCGCTCGATTCAATCTTGGTTCCACACCGAAATGTTCAACGTTGCGTATACGCAATCTGGGCCATTTGTGGGTGAGGAGAGGAGGGCGGGGCAGACAAACAACTGGGTAAATACAATTTGTTTTGTTACTAGCGGCTTAGTGCAGAGCACAACACAGAATGCACTTAAGTCGAGTGTGTCTGGGGGTAATAGAAAATGCAAAAAGGGAATCGACCAAAGTGAAAATGAGCTCTCGGTTCTGAGTCGAAAACTTGTCAAGATTAGCAAGTTTTGTGGGTGTTGCTTTGAAGTCTTACTTTAGTTATATAAGGGAATTGGTTTTATAATAATTGAATATTTTTTTGATCGATCGATCTAGAAGTTACTAAAATCTTTTTGATCAACAAAATTGTTTAGTTATGTTATATCAAAAATCCGAACAAGCTTAACGTCTATATATAACTTAAAATGTTTGCCTCATTCTGTTAAAATGTAGAACCCAAAATTTCTATTTATTTCAAACAAACATCTTTGTTGTCTTTAGGAGCATTCTCGCAAAAGATCATTTCTCATTGGAGCTCACGTCTGCCACGACCACACTTGCCACATGCGCGAGTCGTGGCGCTCGGCAAGGATCTTCCTGCCATCCACATTGCCACGAGCTGCTGCTTGCGCCACATTAAATGGCAAAATTGTCAAAATGCCGCAACAAATGGTGACCGTGGCACGTCCGGTTCTTGTTTTTGTCCTGTCTCTCCCAACATTTTTTTTATATTTTCTTTTTTTTTAGTTTTTTTTGTTGTTGTTGAGGCCGTCCTTTTGTGGTAGGTGTTGCTCCTTCTAACTGGTGGAAAACGCTGGTGGCGGGGATGCATCCATGTGTGTGGCTGCCTTTGGCGATTGTCGTTCCAGTTTGTTGGCGGCTGCTGCTCTTCTTCCCATTGCTCCGCAATTGTTGTGTGCAACAGCAGAAAACGTCGTCAACATTATTGTCAGCCACATATGAGGTCTTTTGTCTTAGCTTCTCCTTCTGGTCTCCCTTTTTGTTCTGGCAGGATTGCATTTTGTAATTTGTTCGCAACATTAAACGCTTAGTTGGCGTTTTGGCGAATGCGGCATTGAAAGTTTCGTTTGAGGTATACCTCTTATCAAACAACCTTCTGCATTTCCTAAATCAAACTAAAACAGAAGATAACAAGGAGTAAACTTAAACCCCATGGGTAGAAAATCCAAGCTTTTTGATGCAAAGTAAACATAAAAAGTGTTGGAGCAAGTTGAGGTATCGAAATGTTGTGAAAGTTTTTAAAGAAATTAAGCAGATGCAGGGCCAACAAGCCCCCCAATAAACCCCCTTGGATCCCCGGACATGCTGGTTGTCATCTTTTTCCTCTTATTTTTGGATCCAGATGCAGGCCATGCGACATCGTAAGTGTTCAAATGCATCGGGGCATGAAGCAACTACGCCAAAATACTGAAAAATCCAACTGCAACAGAGCCACCAGCAACAAATTCGACAGAAAGCTGCGCGAAAGGGAAAAACGGAATAAAAAATGTGAACGTTCGAATATTAAACTAAACTAAGAAATACCCAGTAATTATTTTAAATTGCAGTTTGTCAAAAATTTTAAAAAAATGTTGAGACTATTAATAGCTTATAAAATAATAAAAATTACTAAATTTATTCTTAACCATATTTTTAATACATTTTTTTATTGGGTATTTAAGTT